ATTTTTATTTTTTGAGTACTCTCTACAGCAACTTTTCTTATAAAATATTGGAAGACGAAATTAATTTCTGTGAAGTGGCAGAAAATACATTATAAATGAAGAAGAGGGAAAAAGGAAGCAAATGGCCTGGGGGGAATTCTAAGATCAAAGGATCATATATTTAGAATTGGAAGGGATCTTTGAGGTCATCCCCCTCATTCCATAGATGAGGAAATTGAAACATAGGTAAGGAAAGTGAATTATCCAGTGTCACTTAGCTAATGTCTGAGGTTGAATTTGAACTTGGGTCTTCCTAACTCTTAGGCCAGTGCTCTACTGTTCCAATCCATTATGGGGATATGAGGGCAATGGTCATGGTGGGAGTGAGGGAGGACAGAAGGGAAGGAAGGGATAAAGCTCTTCTGAGAGGGGGGAGTGGGAATTCCCCCTGCAATGGGCACTGTAACCTTTGATTCACCACCTTACAGTGCTTCAAGATACAGTGTGCCTAGAGCTCCCCACTCTGGATTCCTTAGTCTTAGGGGAGACACATCTCTTTTGGCTACACGGTTGCTCAAGACCAGCCTACTTGTTGTTGTTGTTGAGTTGTTCCAATCGTGTCAGACTCTTAGTGGCCTCATTTTTTGGGTTTTCTTGGCAAAGATAATTGAGTGGTTTTGCCATTTCCTGTAGCTCATTTTACAGATGAGGAAACTGAGGCAAATAGGGTTAAATGACTTGTCCACTGGCCATCCAGCTAGTAAGTGTCTGAGGTCAGATTTGAACACAGGAAGATAAGTCTTTCTGACTTCAGGCCCAGTACTCTATCTACTATACTACTTAGCTGCCCCCCAAACCAGCCCTGGCTGGTGACAAACACCTGGCTGGAATGTCTGATGTCAACACTTCTCTCATACTGTGAATGCAGCTGTTTCAGGGGCCAGGCAATGCCAGTCTCAGCAAAAGATCCCTTAAGATGACTTGGCATCACCTGGTACAACAGACATCTTGGCTCTGACTTGAATTAAAAAAAAAAGAAAACAAAAAGATAAAACTGCTTTCCAGAGCAAAAAGACCTCTTGAGAGCCTGTGAGCATTGGCTTTGGTGCGTTGCATGTGGTCTGCCAGTTGGTGATCTCCTGGGTAGTATGTTTCATCTGCACTCCTAATTAAAGCCCAAATTAAACCCAGTCACAACATCCACATTAAAAAAAAAAGCCCTGCAGGAGAGAGTTACCATAGACTATTGCTCAAAACAGGGGCCAGGATAAGCTCTCAAATCCAAGGAGTGATCCTTTTTCTATCAGTTTTGCTATGTCAATGCCTGAAAACAAAGCCAGCTGTTCACAATCAATACTAAGGGCTGTGATACCTTTAACCCCCTCTCTGCCCCCACACCCCAACACATCTGATGATGTGAATAAGAGAAATCTAGAATGCCATAAAACAATGGCTTGACTATGGAATTATAACTCTTTGTGTGGGGAAACAGTGATTTGAATCAGAACACTTTTCATTGATGAGCTGGATTTTCAGGGCCGATGAAATCTTGGTTGTGTGAAGAATGGTGTCTCAATAATATTTCTGAATTTTGTGCTTTTCTTGGAAATTAGAGTCAGCATGATAGAATGAATTGACAGCTGGCCTGGAAGCCAGAAAGATTTGGCTAGGCTTTAGTACTATCTTTGAGATATACTAAGTGACCCTGGGAAAGTAATTTAACCTCTCACAGCTCTAGGCAACTCTAAGACTCTATGTTGCAGAGATGGTGCTGCCCTGTATTGGTAGAGAAGTTTCTTCACCTGGGAGTTCCTTATTTTACTCTGCCTCCTGACTTAGTACCTTTTCCCTGCTGGCCTTTCATGCCTGGAATACTGTCTCCTCACCTCAGCCTCTTAGCCTCCTTCAAGATGCACATTTATTTCCCACCTTCTGCAAGAGGACCGACTCTGCTGCTAGTGCCTTCCCTCTGAGATTATCTCCCACCTGATCTGTATGTATCTGGTATGTACCTAGTTATTTACATGTTGCTATCTCATTGGAATGTGAGCTTCTTCAGGGCAAGTGCCATGTGTCTTTCTTTGAATCTTCAGAGTTTAGCACAGTGCCTGCCATACGGTAAACACTTAGGAAATGCTTGTTTATTGATTGACTGAAATAGCAGTTTGATTTGCTGTTCCAGTCTTATATTTTAGAGAGCAGATAAAAACTCAGAGTAGCTAGGAGGTGCAGTAGATAAAGCACTGAGCTTGGACTTAGGAAGACTGATTTCCTGAGTTCAAATCCAGCCTCAGACACTTCCTAGCTCTGTAATCCTGGGCAAGTCACTTAACCCTGTTTGCTTCAGTTTCTTCATCTGTAGAGCTGGAGAAGGAAATGGCAAACCACTACAGTGTCTTTGCCAAAAAAAAATCCCACCCAACAAATGGGGTCATAAACAGTAAGATCTGATGGAAACAACGCAACAATAATAATAAGAACTCAATAGGTTGTATGGCAGAACTTTAAGAAACTATATTCTGACATATGCTTCCCTGTTACTTTTGATTGAGTCACTTATCACCTAGCCTCAGTTTCCTCACTAACAATATGGTGCTTAACCTTTCAAAGGGAATGTGGAAATTAGTTAAAATAATCAGCATGGCATTAGGGTAAACTCACAGAACCAATGTCTGCAGAAAATGTACTTCCTCCCCAACCTGAGGATGAATGAATGAAAAAAAAATTCTGGAGTTTTTACTATATGCCAAGCTCTGTGTGAAATGCTAGGAATATGAATGCAAAAGGAAGATGTCTCTGCTGTCAAGGAGATTACATTCTAATGAGGGGAGACAGTACCTAGAGGTATGGATGCCACAGAAGGGTGTTTCAGTGTGAGAAGTTGGAGATGATGAGTTGAACAATAGGGAAGTTGAGTGAGATGCCATCTTCAAAGGCAATGACAATGTTACGGTTCTCAGAGTAAGCAATGGAAAAGGAGGTAGAGATAGGGCTGGATAAAGAAACAGGGTAGAAAATGTCATAGGCTAAGATGTGGATACATGGTCGTAGGGAGGTCAGAATGTAATGGCTTAGCTTCTCTCAGGCCATGACCTTTGGTGGTTTGATTCAGAAGGTGGAACAATAGCAGCATCAGTGATAGGGTGGAAAATGAGAAGGACCTTTCCCCTGATTTAGCCATTGAGTGCCAAACTCTTTTCCCAGGTCTACCTTCCCTCATGGATATTTCTGCACCCGAAAGGGCAGACTGCCCATGTATCTCTTGGCCCAGGGACCAGCTAGGATTCCAGCTATAAGCAGCCCATGGTGACATGTGACAGTCTCAAGGCATCTGTTGGGTCAGTCTTTCCACCTCCCACTCCCAGATAAATTTGCCCCACCTGCTGAAATTCCCAGTTAGGACTTTGCCAGTAGAATTTTTACTCTACAAAATGATTCAACACATGGATTTGGTTTAAATTGTGTCTCTTGCCACATATCCATGGCAGCGTTAGGACTCAAGTTCTCTGAAGAGTTTTAGCCCTTGTTTCTCCTCTACTAGCACAGTCATAGAAGATCCTACTATAGCGATTAAACATGCTGAAGATGAAAGGTATATTGTGGCTGAATTATATCTTATTTGATATTTTTACTATTCCAATTCTTCAACCCTTCCCCCTCCTCACTCAGGCAAGCTCAGGTACCAAATGAAAGAGACCCAAAGGAAAGTGAAATACTTCTTGACCACGTGGAAGGAAAGAGGGGATGAATTTAAGGATTAAATTAATGGAGAAGATCTGAGGTTCCTGCCAATGACCAAACCATGAAGGGAAAAGCAGCAGCACTGAGAGCCTACTTTGGCTCCCAAGTTCCTCAGTCCACAATCTGAACAATAACTCTGGAGGACGCTATGTCTTGAATGGAATTTGGAAAATGCATTGTATTTCTTTACTCCTGATAACAGCCATGCTAGAGCTAAAACAATGGAACTGTGCTTTTCCTGGAATTAGATCATACCTATATAATATCTCAGGGTCTAAAAAAGACCTGAAGGTGCAGAGCTCAGTGAGAGATGTCCTATTATATGCTATTTGTTGCATTACTGGATGTATGCAAAAAGTAAAACAGGCTTGTCCATGATACAGAGAAATTTGGTTGTGCCAAAGTCATACGAGAAAATGTGATTTGCTATAGGTTGGGGCTGGAGAATGATTTCTGATTGTGTATATGTGCACTTCTGATTGGGTATATATACACCTTTCCAGTGGTTCTTATCCTGACATCCATGACCATTTAAAAAAAATTTGATAATTATATTTCATTGTTTTCTTTTATAATTCTATGTATTTTATTCTACATATTTAAAAACATTTTGAGAAGGGATCTATAGGCTTTGTCAGATTGCCAAAGGAATCCATGACCCCCCAAATATTAAGAATGCTTGCCTTAGAGCAATGCAACAGTGTGGCCATCTAGAAAGAGGCCAAGCTGGAAAATAGAAGGTCACGTATTCTCTGAAAATCATAGAAAGTGACAATTCCCAACTACTCTTTCTAGAGTGGGGTGAAACATATAACTTCCAGGATGAATGCTAGATATCTCAGAGCCTGATCTTTTTTGGTAAATAGGATGAGGTTAATTGCTAGTAATGCCATTTTTTAAATAAAAAAGAACTAAACTTTATTGAAAAACTGCTATAGACATTTGTCTTAGTTACCTATCCAGACAGACTTACACATGTAGCATTTAATCTCCAAGAACAAAATTAAAGAATAGTACAAATCTGATGAAGACTTTAGCCTATGTACAGAGCAGAATTTTTTCCCTTTTTTTTTCAGCTGTATTGTCCCTTTTTATGTAACTCGTGTTGAGACATACTTGAGTGAATGCATCACTTGGGTTGATCAGTAACCATTTATTACATTAGACTGGCTTTCAATGCTCATATTTTGGAGGTGCTTTCCCAAGTCATCCTTACCCACTTTCCTGCCACAATTTAGTAGAGAAGCAAGGCTAGATAGATGCATGAAAGATAGGCTTACCCTGGGGTCTGTCTCCAATTTCTGCTTATGGGGCAGACTGCGTCTTCTCTTAGTCTTGGCAAGGCCATTGTGGTAAAAGTGGTACAAGCCTCCTGTGAAGGGGAGCTGGAGAGAAGGAAGAAGCAAAGGCATGATTAACCTCTTTTTAAAACCTAATGATAGCAAAATTAAAAGCTCTTGGAACCAGTTTGATATGGATATAGGTGATCTGGGGAAACTAAAGCAGCAGTCTGAACTGCTTGGCTAAATGAGCATCTACCTCTTGTCCTCCTAAACCTGGGCTAAGGCCAATGTACTCATTACCTCTTAGCCACTTTCATTGTGCTTATCTATGCATATACTCATCCTATTTCTCTGTATTTGCTAATACTGCTTTCCTTGTCAGAATCTCAGAATCATAGAATCTGAGAGTGGAAAGGGATTTTTTCTGTCCAGCTAGTCCAATTCATAACCAAAAGGAATCCCCAATAAGTGATCATCTGTTTCTGCATGAAGCCCTCCAAGGACAGGAAACCCTTCATCTCTTAGGGTAGCCCATTCTACTTCTGGACAGCTCTTATTTTTTATGAAGTTTTCCTGATCATCCAGTCTAAACTTGCCTCTTTACAATTTCCACCCATAACTTTTGCTTCTACCCTCTGGGTCCAAACAGAGAAAAATCTAATACCTCCTTCATATGGTTGCTTCTCCAATACCTGAAGACAGACAAAAAGTCCCCCGCTCCTCCAAGTCTTCTTTTCTGTAGCCTAAACATGCCTTCAACTAACCCTTGTTTAAGACACTCAAGGTCCTTTATCATCCTGATTGCTCTCCTCTGGAGTGCTCCAGTTTGCCAATGTCCTTCTTAAACCATGGTGCCTAGAAGTGAACATAGTACTTTATGGTCTCATGAGAACAGCCTGGTGTGGGGTTTTGTAACCTTCAAATGAAATAATATTTGGCATTATATATATGCTTGCTACTGTTAATATTAATATTCCTATTCCTAGAAATTATGTCTTTCATAAAGTAGCCCATGATCATGCCAGCTTTTTTGGCTGTCACATTACACTGCTGACTCACATTGAGCTTGCAGTCCACTGTATCTCCTTATATCTTTTCAGAACTGCTATCAAACCATGATTCTCCCATCTTATACTTAGGAAGTTGATTTTTTTATACTCAGCTACAAGACTTTAAATCTATTCCTCTTCAATTTATCTTATTAGATTCAGTGCCATTCTCTACGCTGTCAATATCCTTTTTTATTTTGAAAGTAATTGTAATAGGACCAATATCTTTCCCTCTACAACATGGCTTAGGAAAAGGAAACATAGCCAGGGCTTGATTGGCTTGGGCATGGGGTAAGGTTCAAGCTGTGACTCCCCTGATGCAGCTTCCTTGTGGTTTCTGGTTGTCTTAACATAGTTTCCTGGTCACCTAGGAGCATAAAGGCTCCCATCCACATGGGATTGGGATCCCTTTAATTTAGCAAGTGCCCGAAGATCACAAGAGTTGCCATACCCTTCCATGTTGACCAGACTTGTTTCCATATGAGGGGGTGTGTATATATATAATTGCCACTGAATCCTTGTTTCACATCTTTGCTATGTCAACACCAGGTAAACCTCCTTTTATTAACTGTTCATTGATCTATGTATGAGTTCTCCATTTCATCCCAACATAGAACCTGAAGAGAATACCAGCATAAAGTCTGCCCCTTATGGTTATCAATTGTATTATCTATCCCTCCCAACTTTGTGTTGTTTGTACAATTGATGAGCATACCATCTATGCTTTTATCCAAGTCATTGACAAAAACATTAAACACCAAAGGGTAAAGAAAAGATTGCTGGGATATGCCTTGGGAATCCTGCCATATTGACATTAAACCATTAACAACTTTTAATCTAGCCATCCAACCAACTCTGATTCCATTTTATTGGAATTATTGGAATTATTGTTTAATCCATGTCTCTCCATTATTTCCACAGGAATAATGTGAGATACTTTATTAAAAGCTTTGTTAAAATCAACATAAATTATACCCACAGCATTCTCCTAATTTACTAGTTTAGTAATCTTGTCAACAAAGGAAATGAGGTTAGTTTGGAATGACCTTTTCTTGATGAAGTCATGCTGGCTTTTTGAGATCAGTGCTTCCTGTTCTACATGTTCACTAACCTTTTTAAAAAATGAAGCATGTTAGAATTTTCCCAGGAACCAAAATTAAGCTCACTGGGTTAAAATCCCCCCCCCCTTTTTTAATTGGAACAGCATTTGCCCTTTTTTAATCTCACTCCTCTTTTTTTCCCCCATGATCTTTCAATATCACTGATGGTAGCTCAAAAATCATATCTGCAATTTCTTTCAGCACCTGAGTATATAATCCATCTTGACTAAGTGATTTGAATTCATCTAGGGAAGCTAGGAGTTCCCTTACTATCTTCTTATTTATCCTGTGTATAAACTCTCTATTAGTATAGAATACCCACATTCCTTGTTCTTATCTAAACTCTACCATTTCTTCAAGGAATGCTAAAGTCATAGGATTCGATGCCTTAGAGCTAGAAGGATCTTACATGCCAGTGACACTTAAGTATCCCAGATACTCAGATTCCTACTAGAACCATTGCTAGTTCTTTTTTGACTGATCAGGGACAAAAGCAGTTGAATTGTGTTAGATATGGGCAGTGCCAAAGAAGAGAATTTGACATCAGGTGCAAGAAAACCAGGAGAGAGTACGAGAGATTGCTAGAAGAGGTAAGCCTGAGAAAGAAACACCATGGCTATAGGATGTTAGGGCAGATGACTGCACTAAAAGGCACTCTGTGCTGGCAAAAGACCACAAGGCATATTGGTTGATCACAGATCAGAGTACAAGCCAGGAGAATGGTAACCACACCTTTCCTTGGATTGTGACACTTCGGAAGAACTGAATTCTTGCAGACTCCCAGAACTAGCTCTGAAACAAAGCACGTGGCAGACATGAAAGTCTTTCTTGGATAAGAGTGTGGGAAAATGAGGCTAGAGATATCTGTATTGCTTCCCCTGCAGCCACACATTACTACAGCCCCTCGCCACATGCGGTCTCTCTCTCCACTTGGGGTGCCATGTCCTTTCACATGGGTTCTCTGTCCTAAGAATATAATTTTTGGTTGCTCATATTTTGTAAGCTTTTTTGGGGTTTGGGGGCAAGATTTTTTTCTAAAAGCCGGGACAATTTAATTTTTGTCCTGTACAGTTTTCATTTATGATTTCTTGAAATATAGATCTGAAAAAACAAGCTTTAAAAAAAATAATGGTTTTAAAGGAGTCCAGTGATTCTCTGAACCAGCCCATTGTGTTTCAAATAGAGCTACTTGACTAATATTTTAAACCCAAATCACTTTGGCTGTCATTAAATGGTCAATAATATCCCCCAACCCAATCCTTTATGGCTCATTGTTTAGGTTTTGATGGCCTAGAATGACTGTAGAGAGCAATTATTTTGTTCTGGCCAGAAACTTTGAGAGTCTTCCCCTCCCAGACTGATATTTTTGTGATAGTAAATTAGGCCATCTTTTGTCTCAATTCTTACCTAGCCCTTCATTATGGAATGGGCATTGCCCCAGACCAACTAGGCCTGGGAAAGCCCTTCATTTAGAAAGGTCAAGGTCATCCATTGCATCACAGGCCATCCCCACTTGCCTTGCCTTTTGTCTTGCTACTAGCCTTTTGAAGACTCTGGAGGAGAGAGTGAGACTGACAACTTTGATATGTAGTTCTGCCTCACTTAAATCCAATTTACACACAAGTCAAGACATCATCCTTGGTCATCTTCAAGAAGAAGGATAAACAACAGCAACAACCACCTCCTACATTTTATAGACGAGGATAAAGGCCCAAAGAGATGAAATGAGTTGCCCAAGATTACACAGCTAGTAGGGGAGAGGAGTGGGATTCAGATTCAAGCTCCTGACTATTCACTCTGGCCTTGACAATATACTTCCTTTAGGATCCCAATAGCTTAGAGCTAGAAAGAGAGTTTGAGGTCAGGAGTGTTAGACAGTGTACTGGAGTGGAAGCCAGGAGACCTGGGCTCAAATTATCCCTTGGATACTGTGTGATCAAACATTCTTTAATAAAACTCTTCTATAGAATGTGAAGAATAATAATAATTGCATTACCTAAGTCACAGGGTCATTGTGCAGATCAAATGAGCTAACATATATATATAAAAGTGCTTTGAAAAACTTAAAAGCACTATAAAAATGTTAGTTATTATTTTATTTATTCTAGTGGTTCCCAACCTATGAACTGTGTACTTACCTCAGGAGGTACATAAATACAAATGCAAATTCATGGTAGGTACTCACTAAGTAATTATTGATCGACCATTTGCACCCCACCTTATTCTCCTCCCTCTCCCCATTATCCTTTCATTAATAGATTGAGAATTGGGCACCAGTCTTATAGCTATTTAGGTCAGCTATGGCAACGAGAGGTAGCCAGTGTGATCATAAGGCACCAAAGTAATTAAAATGGGAAGCAGGTGTCAGGACTAATGAAAAAATTAATCCATTGTCAGACAGTGGAAAGAGAACTGGTTTGAAAGTCACTGGGGCTTGGGTTTTCAGCCCACCTCAGCTATTGGGGTACTGTAGGACATGGACATTTCTGGAACTCAGCTTCAACTTATGTTAAATGACTTCTCAAAGTTTCCTTTCAGTTCTATGATTCTTTGATATCACTCCTTTTCCTAAAATTTCCACCTATTTCCATGTTAGAGGGAGTATAAGAAGGAGACAAACTCTAAGTGCATTTTCTGCCAAAGTTCAAATTGTTCTTTTCTCTTGACTGGTGATGGCTAGCTGGGTAGAGAGAGGATTTCAACAGCAGATAGGGAAAACTCACATTTTTCAGGAGTAATAGGATTTTTAAAATAATTATTATTTTTATTATTTTAATACAAAGCAAATTAATAAGAATTATAAAAGGATAGTAACAAAACGGTACTGTTTATTTCCTTGAATACGTGTGAACTTCAGCGTCTTTAACTAGGTGTTTTTTTTTGCTGTTATTGTTGTCTTTATTTGACTATTTTAGCAATTGTATATGGTTTTTTTTGGGGGGGAAGTTCTGCT